CCGGGAGGGCTCGGCGCGGCGGGGCCCGCGGTGTGCCCTGCCCGCCTGGGACCTGCGCCCACCCGCGGGTCTCCCGTCACGCGTGCGTGGTGCCCTGCTCACGGGGGAGCCGGTCTGGACCGAATCACCGCCTGCTGCTCCGCAGCACCCTGATGTCTGTGCATGGCCTAAGCGCCGGTTAGAGTGACGATTTATTTATTTTTTTCAGAAGGGACTCTTAAGTTACCAAGTTTGACTGTGTACCAAAACCACAGAAACTGATCCCATTGTGGGGCTGTAGGAGGAATCCCCCACCTTTGCCATACATCTCTTCTAAAAGGCACTTGGGCTTTCAGGCTTTGGGAGAGACGGAGAATTCATCTCTTTCCTCGGTGGTTTGGTGATCCTTTTCTTTGGTGATCCACCCTCACTGGCAAGCCTGTGTATGTCATTTGTCACGAGTACTTGTCCAGCCTGAGCCTGTAATGGGTGGCCTGACCAAATGCTGGTCCTAGTTAGTCCTATCGCCTCCAGCTCCAACACCTGAGAGTTCCTTATGGAGGTCTCTTCCTTATGGCCACTCACCAGGTTGATGCTGATGAGTGGCAGAGTGGGGAGCAGGAGGTGCCCGTGGAGCACTGCCTTGCTGCACTGCCTGAGGATGTGTGCGTGGACAGAGAGCGGGGGAGAGGGAGGGGGTGAGGCTCTTCCTTGAGTTTCAAGTTTTCCTTCCTTCCGTACAAAGCTGCTTGGGTGCCTCTGAGCTGGGGTGGCATGTGCAAGAGCCACAACTGAGCTCAGGCTACCAGCTGCTGGTTTTGGTAGCATCAGTCTGAGCTCCTCAAAAGCCACCTCTCAGCTGTCCCCTCGCTCTGGCCCTACACGCCGAAAGTCCTGGGCATGCCAAGCAACAGAAACAAGCAGCTCAGTAACTCAGCTAGTCCATATACCACAGGCACTGGTGGCATTTCTCAGTCAAAGGCCTAATGTGACAGTCATTTCCAAAACATGCATGTACTGAATTAGGTTCCTCATGGGCACAGCTGGAGGGGGGTTGCCAGAGCCTGCCCTCCTTGCCCCCAGTTGCCCAGTAGTTACAGCATGCTGGGAAGGAGGGAGAGGCAAGCTGAAATCCCCTCGGGCAAGAAAAGGAGAGGAACTATGTTTTTCTTGCTCTAAATGCCTGCTCCGGATAAAAGGTGGCTGCGTCCTGCTTACTCTGCTTGGTGAGGAAGAGCTTATGCCAGCCCTAACTCCAGGAGAGACTTCTCAGCTGAGCAAAGCAGAAAGAGGGAGTAAGAGAGAGCTGCAGAGAGATGAGGCTCAGGGCATTTTCTGCTGGCAGACCCCAGCAGTCAGATCCGCTCTCAGCGGATCATGGACCATCCCTTGCATGTGGTATGCATGAGGTATGCAATGGATACCAAGACTGTCAGTTCCGTTTGACAGCAAGAACGGAAGAATCTGGTAGAACAGCTCATTACATTGCTACGCCTAAGCCATAGATACATACAGACTTGAAAAACATACCCCAGACTCGCTGACCCAGAAGCTTAAGTTGAAATGCTCTGCCTGGCATGCATCAACATGGCTGTTTATAATCACAAGTGAACAAGCACTCATTGTTAAAAGATGTGGCTTGCTTACTTCTGGAGCTGAGTGCAGAAAAAAAAATAGGTTTATTTTTCTTTTCAGTATCAGTCGTATTCACTGAGTTATATATTCACTGCATAATATTTGATCACATGCAGAACAAACAGATCTTCACCAAAACAAGTCCAAACTTTGCCATACCAAAAACTCCCGTGAAAAGTATCATGCCAGTAAAGTGCATCTTCCCCCCTCGTTTCAACTGTGTAAGCTTCTGCTGCACGCGGTGCACGTGCATACATATCACTTAGCAATAAGCACTGTCACCCTGCTGACCTGACAGAGCGAATTTGAACAAACAGGAAAAAAAATATTTACCAAAATGAATGAAATAGATTAGAATTTATAGCCTCATTTTTATATCTCATCACTGTTGTTCCCAAGGGAGAGGCTCCCAGTAAGAGACCATAATAACACTCAGCAGCTATCTTTATTTACCAAATTCATATAGTACTTCCATTCCAAAGCCCAATTGAGTATTATTTGCGATAATTAAGTCACGATATTAACATGAAATTGGTTTGTATGTGGTTACTCAAGCTGAGCGCTATCTAGAGCTCAGGGCAGGATTGATCTCGCATGTGGTGGGATGAGACAAGTCACCCTCTGCAGATGGCTGTTTCTCCCCCCCTAACTGAAAAGGGAGTGCGTAGAGGGATAGAGTTAGTTGTCCAAGTCTAAAGGTAGGCGATGTGAATCCCAGCCCTACTATTTTTTTACTGCTTAGTATGTGTATGTGCTGTTCTCCAGTCATACACCTGAGAGGGGGGAGAGAGATGGAAGAAAAACGCTCTGCTTTTGCTTCCCCGGGAAAACTCCTTCGGGAAATACCCTGGGGTAGAGCAGCAGATGACACTTTTAGTCTTAGCAGGGAAGTTTTCCCAGAACAGAGTTAGCTTTTCTTTGGTATTTGGTATATTTCATGGCATTTTAACTAGGTAACAAACCAGAGGGTGGAGGAATAAGGACATACCCTGCAGGTGGAAGTGTGATGTGAAATGAGAGCTCACTTTCATTTCTTTCATGTTGCAGGATTGTGCCCATCCCCTGTCCTTCTCCCTTTGCTCCACGCAGCAAGTCCAAGAACTTTCTGGCCTATGCAGAGGCCCAAATCAATACAACAGCTAAAGCTTTCATGGCAGCAGGGCTTGCACTTCTCTTTGAAAATGGGCTTGTGTTTCCTGGCTCTTTACAGGCACGGTCTTTATATCTGACAAAACATTTTCATGTCCGCTGGGATCTGGTACATGGAGATCCCTAGAAGTAGAGTTGTGTCAAGTACTATACTCGCTTGAGAGGTTGGACCATGCTTCTAAAATACATAAAATAAAAGAAGCAGGCTAAGAGCTGGGGCTCCATAACCCAGAAGCATGAGGAAGCGAGACTGGTGGGAGCAGAATTAACTGCTTTGGTTTATCCCACTTGGTGTTGCTGGTGCCAAAAATTCTTCACAGTATTTTGTTGCATTCACAGTCTTAACACACCAAACTTCCCAAGCTGTAATTTCAGTTTTTCTTTTTCCTTTATTATTTTGTGTGCTCATCTTGCTCTTTCACTCAAAAGCTCCTCATCCAAGGATTTGTTTGTAGGAAACCCTGAGAGATCACATCCCAGGATAGGTGAGACTCCGGGTATTCATAGTCAGGGAGTTTGGAGTTCAGTTGTGGACCATGGTTTGCCCTGCCTGTTTGTTCTTCAGCCTAATTTGTGTATGTAAGAGGGAGAGAAAAAAACACATGCTGCATTGTTGTAATTCAGAATATATTTGAATGTATGTCCTGCAGCAGAGCAGCTCCCTTCCATGCATAGGTTCACTCGGGCTGACAGATCAAGGAGGGGAACAGAGTCTTTCTCCTCTCCTGAGGACAAGTAATAAATCCCTTCGCACAACTTCTGCGTGTCCGTACTGAAATGGCAGGTTGGTTCGGGCATTAGTTCAGCCACTGCTGATGGCGTCAGGCCCCTGGATTCCCCCTGTCTGGCTGCACCATGGCCCCCAGTCGGAGTATGGCAGTTAATTGTAAATTGCCCTCCACGCTTGAGAACACACACGAGTGGATATGCTTAACACTGTCCAACTCCATCAAATCCATTCCGGTGCTTCGAGGCCCTGAAGATACACATCCTTCCAGAAGGAAGTTGGAGGTCTTGGGATCCTCCCTCTAATTTGAAAGAGACCCTGGGTTTGTCCTCTTGTAGTACCTTGTCAGCTTGTGTTCACCTCACCACATTAGCATCGAGATGATCCCAACAACTCTTGGGAGGTAACTCTTGCCATGGAGCAGACAGGGCTGGTGGACGCCATGCTGGCATTCTTGCAGGCTCAGGCAAGGCCCCAGCTGCTGAAGGTGCTGTCTTCATGGTGAGCAGGAAATCCCCATACCTGCTGTCACAGAAACCAGCTCTTCAGGAGCACTGGCCATGCAACGCTTCTTGGTGAAAGCTATTTCTACAGGGTAGGTCGCTTCGTTCAGGTCTCCCAGGGCTAAACCAGCATCTTAGCTTTGTGCAGGACACCCTGGCCTGCTCTAGATTAGAAAATTCTGGGGACTCAGAGGAATTGACCAGTTTTTGTTAAATAGCTCAGGAGAGATATAAACAGCATGCAGCAGCCTTGAGCAGCAGCTCTGTGGTTTCCCTTCTAGCAAACCAAAGGGGTGATTTGGGGTGAAGGGCAAAGGGAAGAATGTAAATCATCATTGTCCCAAACACACAGGACCAGGCATGTTGTCCTCCTCCTCTTCCCTTTCCCCTCCAGCCTCCATGGCTACAGGGACTCTGGACAAGGAAGACAGGGAAAATGGTGAAGAGCGGTTCTGCATTAGTGATTCGATGAACCGCTAACAGCAACCAGGGCGACACACATCCCTGTGATCTCGGAGCTGCCTTCGTGATGGCTGAGCTACCTCGCTGGAGGAGGAAATGACTCACGTTCCTGTGGCCGGCCGGCCTCGGGCAGCACCCTTCAGCGCAGGAGCGGCGAGGTGCAATGAAAAGTTGAACTCACAGCATGGAGCGCTTTCCTTACTGCAAACTACCAATAGCAAAAGATTTGCTTTTGCTTCAGAGTTACCCTTATCTAGGTTTTTCTATTAAAAAAAACCCCAACAGACTATCGAAACCCCAGCTTGTATGAGAAGGAGGGCACGGAGGTGTGGGGAGGGATGAGCGTGCTGCCTTCCACCTCCCTTTCAGCAGAGATCAGACTATTTTCAGAATGATGTGTCTTGTAACTGGAAGCACTGGCAGCCCCGGTGTAGCTGGGGTAATGGAGGAAGGGCTTGGCTTTTGTGGGTTTATTCACAGAGCAGGTGCTTTTTTCTTTTTTTTTTTCCCCCTTTTTGTCATCCACACGCACCACCAGCACAAG